ATAAGTGGGTGCTTTTATATTAGGGGCATAGATATTCAGGATTGAGAGGTCATCCTGATGAATTCTTCCTGTTATGAGTATAAAGTGTCCATCTCGATCTCTTCTGATTGATTTTAGTTTGAAGTCAGTTTTGTTAGAAATTAATATGGCCACACCTGCTTTTTTCTTAGGACCATTTGCTTGAAAGACCTTTTCCCAACACTTTACTCTGAGTAGATGTCTGTCTTTGTGGTTGAGATGTGGTTCTTGCAAACAGCAGAATGTTGGATCCTGTTTTCGTATCCAATCTCTTAGCCTGTGCATTTTAATAGGTGAAATGAGACCATTAATATTAAGTGATATTAATGACCAGTGGTTGTTTACTCCGGATATTCTTATTGTTTTTGCAAGTAGAATTTTTGTGTCTCCCTTCTTTGAGTTGTGCTAGTGAAGGGTCGCTAGATGCCTCAGTTATTGTAGGCAGTGTTGGCAATGTTGGATTCCTTGGGTTGTGATTTTCCTTCTATTACTTTCTGTAGGGCTGGATTCATGGCTACGTATTTTTTAAATTTGTTCTTATCCTGGAATGTCTTGTTTTCTCCATTTATAGTGAACGAAAGCTTAGCTGGGTATAGTAGTCTAGGCTTGCATCCATGGTCTCTTAGCTTCCGCAGTACATCTATCCAGGACCTTCTGGCTTTCATTGTTTCCATAGAGAAGTCAGGTGTAAGTCTGATTGGTTTACCTTTATAAGTTACTTGGCCTTTTTCCTTTGCAGCTCTTAATATTCTTTCTTTAACCTGTATATTTTGTGTTTTGGTTATTATATGGCGAGGGGATGTTTTTCTTTGATCCAGTCTGTTTGGTGTTCTGTATGCTTCTTTAATATTCAAAGGAATATCTTTCTTTATGTTGGGAAAGTTTTCTTCCGTAATTTTGTTAAAAATATTTTCTGGGCTTTTGAGCTGTGACTCTTCTCCTTCTTCTATTCCTATTATTCTTAGGTTTAGACTTTTTATTTTGTCCCATAATTCCTGAATGTTTTGTGATGAGAATTTGTTGGCTTTGCAGTTTTCTTTGATCAATGCGTTAATTTTCTCTATGTTGTCCTCAGAATCTGAGATTCTTTCTTCTATTTCTTGTATTCTATTGATTATGCTTGTTTCTGTAGTGTAGTAATATGAGCGGTGGGGCTGCGTTTCCAGCACCCCGGCCGCCTGCTCGGCTAGCTTATGCTCCGAAATAACAACACACATACTGTATTTATTTAAACACTGCTTGGCCCATTCTCTTCCAGACTAATTCTCACATATTAATTTAGCCCATTTCCAATCATCCGTGTGTAGCACCCCAAGGTGCGCTTACAGGGAAGATTCTAGCCTATGTCCATCCTGGGTCAGAGCTTCATCCCGGGAGCGGGGCATGGCGTCTCTCTCAGGCGTCTGCTCCCGAGAGGAGAGCTGTGGAGTCTGACCTCACTTCCTCTTCCTCCCAGCGTTCTGTTCTGTCTACTCCTCCCACCTATCCTCTAACCAATAAAATGGGCCAAGGCAGTTCCTTTATTAGCCAATGACCGTCCTCCATCATTTCCCCTTTTTTGGTTTAAACAACAACAACAAAAAAAGGCTTTAACTTTAACATAGCAAAATAACATGTAACAAAACAGTTATCAAGTAAAAGTTACAATAATCTTTATCATAACTAAGGAAAACTATAACTAACTAGTCTTAACTCCACCAAAGACTACAGAAAGATACAATACTACCTAAGCAAACAAGAAAAAAAGCAACTTTTAAAACTCTAGAAATGACAGAGACATCTTGCTGCCTGGACAGTCACCCAAGGTTCCTCTGTACCGTTGGGGCATCCATATTCAGCTTTCAGGCCCATGGTTTCCAGCAGACATTTTCATAAAGCAGGAAAATTCAAAGTCAGTTCATTCACTATCTGTTGTGTCCTGCAGAATGTCTCGCAGATGCTTTCATGAATCAGGAACCCCGAAAGATCATCTCACCTTAGGCAAGTTCAGTAGTCCTCTCTCTGTGGGTTCTCTGTGTCCAGTTTATGCAATAGTCCAGGCAAGAGCAGTTTCTTGCCTAAATGGCTATCAAACTCCATAACGAGTCTCTTCGATGCCCATCTTCCTCTTGAAGTAGATTTGTGCTGCCAGGAGCAGAGTGTCTCATTGTCATGAAATGTCCTATTCTGTAATCTTTGAAAGACATGAAGAATGTCTATCTAAAATATATCTCTATATATCTAGAAAATCTAATTATCATGACTACAAGCTTTACTATTATCGATGATAATGCATTAACAACCTATATTTCTTAATTATTCAGTACATATTTAAATGAACTACACAATCACAATACTTTAATCAAAATCAGAAACACTTATTCATACAACAAAATTGACCGTAAATCTCTATCAATAAAGCAAAATCTATGCTAATGTAAATTATTCATATCTATATCATATCCCCCTTAAAATGTAAAAGAACGTTTATAAACCATATTTGGGAATATAGGCACAGTTTTTTCTCTCCAAACCGCTTCCTGCTGAATGGGGGCGTCGTTAATTAGGTCTTTCATGGTATAACCTGTGTGCTAGTTTCATCTCAGTTGGCAGTTGAGCAAAGCAATTTTTTTGAAGGCGGGCACAGGAACCATTCAGGAGGACGTGGTCCATCATACCAAATCGGAATAGAAGAAATGAACAGCGTGTCATCCTCTGTGAAAACAAAATAAGAAACTCCTTTCCAAAGTATCATATCCTTAGATCCAAATTCAAAATATCTATGTAGGATTAGCTCAGCAGTATTTATATATAAATATCTTTTAGCAGCTGTTGCTCCTTCCTCAGCATTCAAATAATTCAAAGAGAGCATAATAGCATACAGTATCAAGATTCTCTGTGTATTTTCCATCTTTGTACAGCTTTGTTTTAACCTCTATTTCGTTTATTTTTACTTTTAACTTTTTGCTTTTTGAGACAGGTTCTCTGTATCTTTGACCTGAAGTAACTCTGTTGACCAGGCTTTCTTTGAACTCACAGAGATCCGCCTGTCTCTGCCTCCCAGGCATTGGGATTAAAGGCGTGTGCTCCCACAACTTGAAGTCACAGAGGTCTATCTCCCTCTGCCTACCAAGTGTTGGGATTAAAGGTGTGTACCACACAGAACAACTCTCTTCCTTTTTTTTTTTGTTACTTTAAGAACTTTAAATTTTAGTCTGCATATATTTTTAACACACTTCAAACCACTTAGAATTTTTTTTTGTCTTTGAATCTCTCTTTACTGTATATCTCTCTATTTCTGACCACAAGAGTCTTTAATTTACCAAGCAATATCAGTAGGATTAAAGGCGTGGCTTTGCCGGCTGGATCCAGCCCATTCCTTAGCTTTCCAGCCTCATGGCTGAGGTACTGGCTGTAGCCAGCAAGCAAGCTTCAGCAGCCTGTGCTTGCAAACCGCACAAACCGCCTGCGTAAAAGAGTCAGAGTTTGTCCTGGCAGGACAGCCCAGAAAGCCGGCATTTTTAAACGGCGCAGTTTTTTTTTCCTGCTATGGCTGAAAACCGAAAAGCATGCATTCAGCTTTTTGTCAACACCATTTAAGTGTTTCGTGGCAGGACCTCTTAATGAGCTGCAGGCATTGCAGCTAAAGCTGAGTCAGGAAGCCTCTCTTAGATGAGGCGCTTGCTTGCCTCTAGCTTGCAGAGTAGAACCAAGAAATTGCTGCTACCAAGAAACCAGGCACAATGCTTTCATTTTGTTCTAGAAGTACTTCCCAAGCTGTCTCAGGCTTTATGTGGAAGCAGTTGTCCACGTGGGCGCCATTTGTAGTAATATGAGCGGAGGGGCTGCATTCCCAGCACCCCGGCCGCCTGTCGGCTAGCTTATGCTCCAAAATAACAACACACAAACTGTATTCATTTAAACACTGCTTGGCCCATTCTCTTCCAGGCTAATTCTCACATATTAATTTAGCCCATTTACAATCATCCGTGTGTAGCACCCCAAGGTGCGCTTACAGGGAAGATTCTAGCCTATGTCCATCCTGGGTCGGAGCTTCATCCTGGGAGCAGGGCATGGCGTCTCTCTCAGGCGTCTGCTCCCGAGAGGAGAGCTGTGGAGTCTGACCTCACTTCCTCTTCCTCCCAGCGTTCTGTTCTGTCTACTCCTCCCACCTATCCTCTAACCAATAAAATGGGCCAAGGCAGTTCCTTTATTAGCCAATGACCTTCCTCCATCACTGTTGGCTCTGCTCATTGACCTACATTTTCCATATCCAGCTGGTCCTCATTTTGTGTTTTCTTCCTTGTTTCCATTTCAGTTTTCAATTCTAGAACTGTTTCCATTACCTGTTTGATCGTTCTTTCTTGTTTTCCCAGGTTATTATGTACGTATTTACTCATTTCTTCAAATTTTTGGTTATACTTCTCATCCATTTCTATAAGGGCATTTTTCACATGTTGTTTAAGGGACTCTATTGCTTTTATAAAGTCAATTTTTTCAACTTCTTCTGTGTTAGGGTGTTGAAGACCTTCTGTTGTAAGATCATTGGGTTCTGGTGTTTTCATGCTGTTTTTCAGATTGTTGGGTGAATTCTTGCGTTGGCACCTGCCCATCTCCTTCTATTGATGCTATCTAAGGGGTCTTTTAAAACTGGTTCAGGTTTCCCTTTTGTCCAGGGGCTCCTCTTACAAAATGCCCTCGCTCTGTTTCCTGGTTCCTGGTGGGGTCCAAGATCCCTCTCACCCCTCAGAAGGGTCTTCAGGAATAGGACCCAGCTCCTCCTTTGCCAGGGACCTCGCCAACCAAAGGCCTACCTCTTTGATTTAATTGTAGTGGGGTGATCTGCTCTCGGTTTTGCGCGTGGTCCCTGTAGCCTGCGTCTGCTGCCACGACGGTTCCTGCGGCCTGCGGCCTGTGTCCTCTGCTGCTGCTGTGGTCCCAGCCAGTCCCAGCCGGTCCCAGCCTCCGCCATCTGGGTTCTGGCCGCCTCCCTAAACAGGACATTTTTTTTTTCAATGTTCAGTTTCCTTTAATGACCCCCATCTCCCCTGAAGGGTAGGTGCAGGCAGCTAGGCGACAGCAAGACATGTTCACTTGAAGATCTTGCCTTGATTGACGGCTTTGCCCACATGCTGGAAGGCCCCCTCCCAGGAAAAGTACTCTCGAACCAGGGTCTGGGTCTCCTCGCTACCAGGATCCAGTTTCCGCCATGTATATGACTCGTAGTCCACCTGCCAATCTGGACTTAGTGGAAAGGCAAGTTCTTGGCCTCGGAAGACCCAAACGCCAGAAATGGAGCTGCTGTTGTTGGTTCCAAAGAGGATGACACTAGCAAAGGCATTCTTCCTCAGTTTGTCCAATCGCTGGAACATGCCATTGATGAGGTTGCAACTCATAAAGGTCTGGGTGAGCTCCTCAGGGAAGCGATATTCAGCATACCACAGGGACCAGCCGTCCTTATCAAAGTGCTCCCAAAAATATGGCAACTTTTATTCAAAAAACATTTTCCAACACAGCCATTTTTAAAACTATCAATAGATATTAAATTTAAAATTGATTGTCAAGTTCAACCAAGATTATTTCACATATATATGTGCACACATTTATATGTACACATTTAAACACATATGTATATAAATATATCAAATAATGGTGTTTTTCTTTTATTATTATTATTATTATAACATATATAAGAAAACATAAATATATAAAATACTACCTGCTAAATCCATTTAGTATCCCATAAATATATGAGACATGAAAGTAGAAAAGAGATTTTGAATGTGAAATGAAATATTGGTAGAGATCAGGGGGGAAGTGAGGAGCAAATGTTGTCAAAGTTAGTGATATACGTTTATGAAAATAGCCATATGAAACTCACCACTATGTGACTTGAATATAATGCAAATAAATTAAAACTATATCAATAAATTGGTACAATATAAAATTCTCAGCTTCAGAAAGATTGCTTCCTAGAATTAACATTTTGAATAGTCATTAGACCACAGTAAAGAAGTTGACCCAATCATATGATTGTCCCCAAAGCAAATAAGAATGGGCATGTATAGGAAAGTGATAGCAGCACTCTCCCTAATATCCTTATTTCTTATACAGAAGAAAATATCTTATTCATGGGTCCTTGAGAGCCATGGTAAGAAATGTGAATAGAAGAATAATGTCACTGAGGGATGCGCCTTGACCTCCTCAAGTATCTAAGGCTGCTTCTAGATTCTCTTAATTTGCTCTGTCAATTTGCCCTTATCTTCTATCATTCAATGAGCCCCTCTGTGCTTTCTGTTGTATCAATGCATCTTGTCACCACTTTTACCTAAGGAAATCAGCTTGGCTCCTCAATTCTTGAAATTATATTACATAATTTACCATGGATGTAAATGATTTTATTCTGCCCAATTAGTACTAGTTTTGTCAAGAAGTGTAGTGGTGAGGGGTTTTCAAATAGTTAATAGATTCTACTGCTTTGTTATGACTAAATATGTCTTAAATTATTAATATCTTCTCTTGAAGGAGTCAGTTTTCTTTCAAACATTTGTATCTGTGCCATGCTTTTCTTTTATTCATGTACCTTGACTTTGACCTTGTTTCTAACTAAGTAGTATCTTGGTTTATATTAAGAGATTTTCCTCTTTCCTTGCCCTACTGATGTTATAACTTTTCCTGTATTAATTCTTAATGAAGGGCAACATGCACAGATTGATTTACTCCAATTTCTAAATCCAATCTATTTCAGAATGACAGAAAAACCTCAGTTCACCCTGTAACACCTCATTGTCAGTATGCTCCACTATTTTCCTTTTCTGATATTTATTTCAAGATGTGGAGTTCATACAGAAGATGGATGAAAATAATGAGATACAATTACTTATTTTTTAAGTGGAATAACATATATGAAGTTAATCTAAAAGCAAATAGACAAAGAGTTACTTTAAAATTTAGTAGAAATGATGTGGTCATCCCTACCTTATACTCCATACACTGTTAGCTACTTACCAGTGGTTATGAATCTCTCTTGGTATTTTTTTTAAGAAAAATAAAGCTCTCATTTCCATTACTTTACACACAATAATAGAGTCATTGCAACCTTGTATAAGTTAGAGAATAAAAATGTCAAGTACACAATAGTCAATCAGAATATGTTATAACATTACTTCAATTTATTTTTAATTTGCTTTAATTTTAATTGAATAAAATCATATAAATTCTCCTTCCCTTTTCATCCTCTATCCATTCCAATGTTACCTTCTTCCAAACCCTTCCATATCCATTATCCTACACCCACTGTAGTTCATGGGGAATTTTTTATTATTTTGTAACATATATAAAAAACAATAAATGCAACTTCCTGAGAACATTTAGTGGTCCTTGTATGTATACCATTTCAGAGCTGACCATTTGGTGTTGGATAAGACTTTAGTGGGCTCATTCATGGAAAATCCTGCTTCTTCCCCTCTCAGCAAACATCAGGTATCTATATGTTTTATTTTTGTTTTTGTTTTTTGGTCTAGTAAAGGGGACACTGAGATTTCTCTCTTTCATTTTAGTATGTACAACTTCAGTTTCAATAAATTCTTATTAAATAACTACATATCAAGTCTGGAGTTAGAGTATATTTGAAGATAAAAGAAGTTTATGATTCACGTTGATTTCTTTAAATCTTAAAATGAATTGTTTAGAATTGTCAGTGTGTATACAATATGAAGAATAGATATTTCAAGCTGTTAAAGATAAAACCATGAATAATATTTATATAAATGAAAACATCAAATGTTACTAGGGAGAGTCATTTTTTTTTAGAGTAATTGCTATTCTATTTGCTATGTGACTTAAATCACATAATAAGAGCTCTCATACCTAAGGGTTGAGGGACTTAATGACTTCTTGGTTTAATTGATATAGCACCAAATCACACATTGAATATCCATATGGGTAATATCTACATTTACAGGTAAAGGCTTTTCTCAGCTTTAAACAGGGCAGTCTCTCCTTGGAATGAATGGAGATAGAGGAAATGACCTACAGCTGCACCAGAAACTGAGCATAAAAGATGATTGAGGACTCAGCCCTTGATAAGACATTTATACTTCCTGTTTAAGGCTCAAGAGACATTGTGGAAGAGAAGTTAGAAAGAATATAAGAATCACAGGATAAGGACAGTGCCTATGAAATACTATCTTCTAAGCATGACATAGACTTGGGAAGCACAAACTAGTAACATCTTTGCATACTGCTACTGAGTCATACAGAAGTTGGCCATAAATAATGCTCAGCTATGGAGGCAGAAAGGAACCATAGGGCCCCACCACATACCGATAATGTGTTAACAAAAAGTTCTAGGGAAGAGAAAGGCGTGATATCTAGTTGTGCACCTGCTAGTAAGCCCACAAGGCTGTGATGGATAGTTGCAAACTTAGGATCACACAGAATTCTCTGATTAAACTCTGGGATACTAAAAAAAACCAATATAAGGAAAAAAACATTTGTAGAGAGAAGGTGTGGCTGGAAGAGTCCGCAGAAAAATAGGCTAGTGTAGGAGGAGATGTATATATATATATGAATGTGTGAAAGAACACAATTTCCTAATAAAAATATAGAAAGCACTCTTACAAAGATAGGTAAGACCAGAGCTTGCAAAATTGCTAGTAGTTCAATAACAAGTGCTACCCAAAGAATTAGAAAGTGCATATTTTGGGATCATGGGCTATTGGGTCATTTGCATAGTATGCATCATTTTTTAAATTAATTTTCTCATTCTTTTTGGCCTATGCTGAAGGAACAGCGTTTCAGATCTTCCTTTCTTATTCTAGTTTATTGTATATACTAACTTTGATCTCACTTCCCAGTTTAATCTAGTGTTACAACTCTCCTATGATAGCTGGGGTTCCCATAAATCTTCGGGAGGGCAGTTGGAGGATGATATCTTCCCTAATTTTTCCATGCAGATGAAGAATATAATTCCTACCTACAAAGATCTATATAACTCTCCACTATGGAGAAGAAGGTCTGGATTTCCTTTAAGTGGAATAGGGTAGAATTCCTGTATTACAGTAAGTTTAGTTTAAAATTACTAAATCCTAGAGTCACCAATCATACAAGGATACTAAAGATATTAGGTTTGAATAAAGAGTAACATGGTAATGCCAGGAAAGTTATGACCATGATTATCCTAATAAAGCCATCCTCTGTAGCTTACTACAAGATTTAAGATCTTTTGGACTGAAAACAAAATCAATCCTATTGATAGTTATCCATTATATATTGAGCCATGTGGCAAAATACTGAAGAAAATGCTTAAGAAAGAATCCAAAATCCAATGGAATTAATTACAAGAAAAATACTGTCAATTTGTAATCATTGAGTATATATTACACAAACATTGTCAAATTAAAAATAATGAAGTAAACTACAACATAAAGTTAGATAACTATAATTTATAAAAATGCTTATTTTATTAAGAAAACAAGACATAAACTTCCTTGTTTTATCTTTTTAACTTTTCCTCTATTCTTTGGAATTTCATTCACATATATAATGTAATATAATCATAGACTTTTCCCTTCATGCCATTTTCTTCCTTTAATTCCTTCTATATTAATTACCCCAGCACATCTCCCTCCCAAATTTACACCTTTTTAATAGCTCATTAATTCCACTCAGTGATGCCAATAAGTGTATGGGTGTGGGTACATCCACTAGAAACAGGGAATCTTACCAGTGATCATCTCTTCAAAGAGAAATGATTTTTCCTTCTCTCAACAACAATCTACCGCCAATGGCTTAACAATAAGTAGACACCATAGGGAGATATCCATGCCTTAAGATAATCTACCAGATCTATACCTGGATTTAGGTTGATTTGATCTTTAGCACATTGTAGCATCTGCACATAAGTGCTTTGCTTTCAGAAGTTTCACAGTAGGTAGCATTTCGGTTTAGATAGAGACAAAGCCTTATTTTTCTAAATTCAGCTGAGCACTTATTTTCCTGTGCCCAGGTTTGTCAGAGTTAGGACAAGAATTTCCCCTGTGTAATCCTGTATTTGTAATATGGTACTATAGGGATTTTCATTGGTATGGATCTTGCTTTGTTGATACAAATTTAACGTCAATTTTATTATATGTATTTTTATGTTCTTGCTTAAGGTGTTTGTTGTGTTTTTGCAGCTCATTTAAAATGTAATGTATAATTAAGAAATATATGTTAATAGATAATCATCTATAATAGTCTAACTTTTATTCATGTTAGTTAAGTTTTCTAGATATGTATTCTTCAAATATTTCAGAGACCTTCAGAATATGTCATTTAAAATGTTTTAAGATGAGATACATCTGCTCCTGTCAACTCCAATCTATTTCAAGAAAATAATAGGCATCAAAGAGGCTCCTCATGGAGTTTGTTAGCCATTCGGGCAAGAAACCGTTTATGCCTGGACTGCTTGATGGACTTTGCCATTAAAAGGCAAAACAAGTCTTCAAATTTTCTGCTTTGTGGGCTATGGACCTGTAGGTTGAAGATGGATGTCCCAAAGGTACAGAAGAACTTTGAGTGATTGCCCAGGTATCAAGATGTTTCTGTCAATTTTAGAATTTTGTAAGTTGCTTACAATGTTCTTTCTGTTTACTTAGGTAATATTATATCCTTCTGGAGTCTTTGATAGAGTTGATGAATAAATAGTTATAATTATATTTTTCCTTAGTTATGATAAAAGATAAAGTAGATATAAATATTATAACTGGAATTCTTGTTTGATACCTTTTTTTGTTATATGTAATTTTACTATGTTAAATTTAAAACCTTCCTTTTTATTTAAACAGAAAAGGGGAAATGATGTTGGAAGTCCTTTTGTATATGTGTTGATTTTACCGGATAATGAATAAGGAAGATGATTTTGCCTGTTAGGGCAGAGTAGATCTAGGTGGGAAAAACTAAACTGAATGCTGAGAGAAAGAAGGCAGATTCAGGGAGAAACCAAGTAGCTGCCACAGGAGACAGACTTGTTGAAATTTTGGTGGTTGGCCCCAACGTTGGGGTGATGCACAGATTAATGGAGTTGGGTTATCTTAGGATATAAGAGCAAGCTAAAAATATGCTTAAGGTATTGGCAAATAGTATTGCAAATAAATCCTGTCACAGCAAGTATCGGCAAGCTACTTTTGCTTAAAAATCATTTATGTGTGTCTGTGTGTGTATGTGTAGTACACATTTATTGACCTGCATACATTGAACCAACTCTGAATCACCAGGTAAAGTCAAATTTATGGCTAGAGATGATCTTGATACCTGCTGATATTTGTTTTGAAATTATTTTATTTATAATTTTTATATCTACATTCATCAATGATATTGGCCTATAGTATTATTTTACTCTTGTCTTTACTTGGTTATGATATTAGAGTAATATTGGCTTCAGAGGAAAAGTTTGGATGTGCTGCATCTTTTCTGTTTGAACACTTAGGAAATATTGGTTATATTTTTTTTAAAAAAGTAAATTTTATTTTGGAGAATTTCATACAAGGGAACTGCATCTACATCATTCCACATACCTGTTCCCTTGTAATCTCACCATAGTCCTCTTCCAAACTATCTCTTCTTTAATTGTTGTTGTAAAGGGTATATACATAAGTATAAATACACACATTAAACACATACACACACAAGAAAAAGCCCATTTAGTTTTGCTCACATGTATATATGTTCAGTGTTGACCACTTGAGAGTAAGCAAAATTTGGGGTTCCTTGAGACATCTGATTTTCCCACTTATCAACTATTGACTATGTCTAGCACTTTACATAGTGGTGGGATATTGTGGAAATTCCTTGTGTACATTTTGAAGTCAACTGACGTTATTATGCAAGTTGTTCAGGTAAGCATATGCTGTGATTTCATGGATACATTTCTCTGTCATTTCTCGAGGGTATAATTTATCAATTGGTGCCTCAGGCCTCTGTTTCTTAGAATATTTTTGACCCCTCTGTAATTTCTGCAAATTTTTCCTGAAGCTTAGGTTTGGAGGTTGCATTACAGATGTATCATAGTCACTAATTATCTACATTTGGATCTTTAATAATTTCCATAACCTTAAAATAGAAGCTTCTTTGAAGGGATAAGAGCTAGACCCTCTTGTGAATATAAGGACTGATGTTCAGGAAAAAAAATATTGATTTCTTTTTAGGTCTATGATCTCTACAGCCATGGGTAGCTGTTTAGGTATATTGTATCAGTCACAAATTACCTCCTGCTGAGTGAGCCAGAAATCCAATTAGGTAACTGTTAATTACCTCCAAGAAAAAATGTGCCACAATTGCACCATTTTTAATGTATTGTCAGTCAAGTCATGATTTTGCTTTATAGGCTTTATAGATAAGTTCAACTGCTGAATACTTGTTTTCCTCAGTAGCTTGCATGAATCTCCTAATTGTATGAGACCACTCTTCAGGGATGGGGTTCCCAGTTCAGTTCTAGCTTTATTTCTCTGAGTATTTTCCTTCTTTTTATTTATTCTTTGTGTGTATTCCAGATCATGTTTTTCAATTTCATTCATTTCCCTTTACTTTCATATACACCCTGTGCTATTGCATCCCTCCTACCTCAAATAAAATGAAATAAAATTTAAGAGAACAAAAAAGTAAAAAAAAAATCAGTCTCATCTTGGAAACTGTAGTGTGACACAGTAATTCAATGAGGAGCAGGACCAGTTCTGCTTTCATGGTTTAATGGTCAGATCTCCCATGTCTACATCGTAGGGGCCTGCTCTACTCTGCTGCCCAGGAATGGTGTTGCGGCCACTCTCCTGAGTACTGTAGCTTATGAGGGGCAGGGACAGTCCAACAGTTCTTATGACCACAGGACCAGCTTTCCCACCTGCCTCATGTCCTGATGGGCATGGGGGGAAGGCATATTTCCCCCACTCATTCCTCAAAATGCCAGAAAGGTAACTATTCCATGCTCACATCTTCCAGGCTGGCTCACCCACACTTCTGCCTTGGTCTGGCTCTATTCTGCTGCCCAGGAGAGTTATAGGGCCTGCTCTCCCAAGTGTTGCAGCTGGTAGTGGGCAAGGACAGTTCTTCCATACTTATAACCTTAGAGTCAGCTCTTCCACCTGCCTCTGTCATTGATTAGGGAAGGTAATCTCTCCCCAACGCAGGCTGTCATATGGCAGATGAGGAGCCTGGTCAGGTCTCCCACATTCACATTCACATTCACAATCTGGTTCACTCATGCCCTATCAACAGGGTCAACTAAACTGTTCTTCCCTGATGAGGCATAGGGTCTGCTACCCTGAGTGCTACAGCTGGCAAAGTGTTTGGCTTCCTCACTATTTAGAAGAGGTAGGAGGGACAAGGGAGGAGAACATCTTCCCCTCATTCTTACAAGCACTCCTTGGCTGAAAGAGGCAGTATCAGCTATTCCCTTCTCATGCACTGAGAAATGGCTCACCTACACCCCTGTCCATAGGGTCTACTTTAGTATGAGACTCCAAAGAGGCTGAAGGCCTCTTCTTTTGGGTGTTGAAGCTAATGATGGGTTGAGTCAGGTCGCCCACTTGCTACACGTGGTAAGGGGCTAAGTGGAGCAACTTTCCTTCACCACATAGCAGGCATGCACTGCTCTCTCCCTTTCCCATGGTCAGGCACTTCACAGCAACAACACTTTACTTCTGGTACTGACTTTTATCTTAGTTACTTTTCTATTTCCTGTGAAAAAACAGCATGGCCAAGGCAAATTACAAAGAAAATGTGTTTAGCTTAGCTTATTGTTTAGACTGTAAGGGTCCATGATAGCCAAGCAAAGGAATAGCTGAGAACTCACTTTTTTTTATGGTCAGTGATCAGCAACATTGGCTAACCTGTAAATTAGCAATTAATTCTTTAAAAGTTATTAATTGTAGTAGTTGTCTCATTATCATTCTCATTATTATTTCCACCATGACAGCAATTCACCCTTCATTCTCTCCTCCCAGTCTTTCTCCCCACATTTTCCTTTTCCTCCCCTATCTACTAGTCCTACATTTCTATTCAGAAAAGGTCAAACCTCCTATGAATGGTAACCAAACATGTCATCTCAAGTTTCAGTAAGACTAGGCATCTACACTTATATTAAGGCTAGAAAAAGCAACACAGTGTAAGGAATAGGGTTCCTAAAGTCAACAGAAGAGTCAGAGACAGTCCCTGCCACCACTGTTAGGCAGCCCAAAGAAGATAAAGGTACACAGTTGTAACATATATGCAGAGGGCCTAAGTCAGTCCCATGCAGGCTCTCTCATCATCAGTAGAGTCTCCGTTAGCACAGGTTAGTTAATTCTGTGGGGTTTTTTTTTGTGGTGTCCTTCACCTTTCTGTGAGAACTCACACCTTAATCCACCACCATTAGATAGAAAAAGAGCACTGAGAATTGCCCGACTCTTTTGAAAGCTCAAAGACTGACCCTAATAGCATATTTCATCCAACAAGACCACACCCCAGAATCCTTCCCAAGGTGTTTCACCAACTAGGGAACAAAATGCCTCTTGAGGGTATTTTTATTTAAACCACCACAGTAAAGAATGCAGATGGAGAGAGAGCACAAGCAAGGAACTCAGGACCGCAAGGGCTGCACCCACACACTGAGACAGTGGGGATGTTCTATTGGGAACTCACCAAGGCCAGCTGGCCTGGGTCTGAAAAAGCCTGGGATAAAACCGGACTCTCTGAACATAGCGGACAATGAGGACTACTGAGAACTCAACAACAATGGCAATGGGTTTCTGATCCTACTGCACGTACTGGCTTTGTGGGAGCCTAGGCAGTTTGGATGCTCACCTTACTGGACCTGGATGGAGGTGGGGTTTCCTTGGACTTCCCAAAGGGCAGGGAACCCTGATTGTTCTTTGGGCTGACGAGGGAGGGGGACTTGATTGGGGGAGGGGGAGGGAAATGGGAGGCGGTGGTGGGGAAGAGACAGAAATCTTAAATAATTAATTGAGACAGAGACCCACATTGGAGCACAGGACTGAAATCTCAAGGTCCAAATCAGGAGCAGAAGGAGAGAGAGCACGAGCAAGGAACTCAGGACCGCGAGGGGTGCACCCACACACTGAGACAATGGGGATGTTCTACTGGGAACTCACCAAGACCAGCTGGCCTGGATCTGGAAAAGCCTGGGATAAAATCGGACTCTCTGAACATAGCAGACAATGTGAACTACTGAGAACTCAAGAACAATGGCAATGGGTTTTTGATCCTACTGCACGCACTGGCTTTGTGGGAGCCTAGGCATTTTGGATGCTCAACTTACTAGACCTGGATGGAGGTGGGGGTTCCTTGGACTTCCCACAGGACAGGGAACCCTGATTGCTTTTCGGGCTGAGTGGGGGGGACTTGATTGGTGGAGGGGGAGGGAAATGGGAGGCGGTGGCGGGGAAGAGACAGAAATCTTTAATAAATAAATAAATAAATTTAAAAAAATTAAAAAAAGGAAACAAAACAAAAAAATAAAAATAAATAATTAAATTTATAAAAAAAGAAAAGAGATTTATATATTTAAACCAATAACATAAATCACTGGTTGGTTACAAGAAAAAAAAGAATGTAATGGTGGGTCCGAATAAGTTCCGAGGGGACCGAGGAACACTGCTCCTCAGGGCTCTGCGTTCGAGCTAGGTATTGTGTCGTCTATAAGTTCGACGGGTTAGAGGTCCAGCCACAACAATTGAGGTCGTTTGCAACGACTGTCTAGGGAAGAAAGTCCGCTTCAAGTGCAACACCGATGACACCATCGGGGACTTGAAGAAACTGATAGTGGCCCAAACTGGCACCCGTTGAACAAAGATCGTCCTGAAAAAGTGGTACATGATTTTTAAGGACCACGTGTCTCTGGGAGATTATGAAATCCATGATGGGATGAACCTGGAGCTTTATTACCTGTAGACGGGAATTCCTTCTCCTTGCCTACTGTGCCTTCCTCTCCCACCCTCATTTGACACTGGTATAGATGTCCATTTTTAACATTCACATGAATTAAAAAACTTCAGTGCTGCTTTGTTCCTGTCCAAAAAGAAAAAATAAAAAAGAAAAAAGAACACTGCTCCTTTGCTTTCTCCACGAACAGGAAGCCAATATGTCGGAACGGAAAATTCTAAACAAATACTACCCACCTGACTTCGACCCATCAAAAATCCCGAAACTCAGGCTACCCAAGGACCGGCAGTACGTGGTTCGACTGATGGTCCCCTTCAACATGAGGTGTAAGACATGTGGAGAATACATCTACAAGGGGAAGAAGTTCAATGCACGCAAGGAAATTGTCCAGAATGAGGCCTACCTGGACCTGCCTATCTTCCGCTTCTATATCAAGTGCACGCGCTGCTTGGCCGAGATCACCTTCAAGACAGACCCTGAGAACACGAACTACACCGTGGAGCATGGAGCCACATGCAACTTCCAGCCCAAGAAGCTCCTGGAGGAGGAGGAAAAGCGTGTGCAAAAGGAGCTGAACAACCCCATGAAGGTCCTAGAGAACCACACAAAAGACTGGAAGCTGGAGATGGAGGTGCTGGAAAATCTGCAGGAGCTGAAGGGCCTGAACCAGCAGCAGGCACACGTGGAATTTGAGGCCATGTTGCTGCAGCACCGCCTGTCGCAGGAACAGCAGCGACAGCAGCAGGAGGAGGAAGATGAGCATGAGATTGCAGCCTTGCTGGAGGAGGCTCGCCACCGCAGGCTTCTGGAGGATTCTGACTCCGAAGATGAAGCTCCGCCTTCCCAACCAAGCTCAGCAGCAAAACCCAACCCCACAGCCATCCTGGTCGAGTCACCCAAGGCCAAGAGGAAGGCAGAGGCAGTGCGCAGCAGGGCACAGCTGGCCGGATTGGTGGTGCCAAAGAAGGTGAAGGCGGAAGCCAACAGGGGCTCAGAGCAGCTCCAGACGCCTACCGTGGGTGCCCCCGAGAGCAAGAAGACAGCCAACCTTGCACCCCAGACACCCGGGGCCTCCTCCCTGAGCCAGCTGAGTGCATATGGGGACAGCGAGGACAGTGACTGCTGAGCCCCTACAGCGACATCACAGACCCAAGAAACCAGAGGAGGAGATGGGATCAAGGAAGGCACCTTCAGCAAGTTCCTCTTGACCATGACTCTATTGGTCCGTACATTCTTGCTTCCGTTTCTGCAGTGAGAGATGTCCTCGGCAAGGTCAGCAGTCTCTCACTGAGCCCTACTCCTGAGACTTTTATCTACATAAAAATAATCTACTTAATCTCCGTGTTGTTCCGTGTATCTGCCGCCTTTACTTTGTCTCTCACTCCAGGAAGCCTCGTGATGCTATTCCTTTCTGTAGCTCAGGATGGTACATCGCCCACAATGCTTGCATCCTTAACGTTTTTTCCCTATAGAACTCCCATTAGTCTATACATAATTAAAATTGATTTCCCCCATCAAAAAAAAAAAGAATGTAATGGTGGATCTGAGAGGAGTTACTGGAGGGATAAATATCAAAACGCATTGTGTAGAATTCTCAAAGAATTAATAAAATATTTAAAATGCACATATTTCATATATAAAATATTTCTAGATTCTAGAATATGTCAAACAGCACAAAGGCTTAAGTAAAAATCATCAAATTCATAAAATAGTCATCACTATCAGGTTGTAGTAGCTTGATGTTAGCTGGCTACTGTGATCAATATTATAATAGACCTGTATGATGTTGACTAGACAGAAGTAGTGCTAACACCTCAGAAACTTTTTCTGCATCATTTCAGCACAAATCTGTCTTGGAGGATTTGCCTCCCATCACTGGTAGCTAATCTACAGGCCGAACAAGGAAGTCTAATTACAAAGTCCTTCTAGATGTCTCTTTGCCAAGACAGCCTGTCTTAATTTCTCCTTCATCTCCCTGTTGTTCTTATTTTGATGTCTGTCTTTTTCTCAGTATCTTTTTCTGACTCAAACATAAATTGTTGGTTTTATCTCTTTTGAAAGCTAAAGGAGAATAACCAACTATATAATCAAAACTTTCTTTTCTTGACATTGTTTATATTAGAAAGGTGTTACAATCATATAGTATAGTATTAATGCATGCCTGTACTCTTATT